TTGAAAAATTTTCCAGCCAATCAGAATATAGTACTCAAACGCCCCCACCTCAATTCAATGCCCCCCCCCCCTCACAACTTTGAAATTCAATTTTGAAAAAGTACTTTAACATCGTCAGAAAACAAAGTAACAATTATGAACAGATTTGTTTTCATAATTTACATCACAACATCACTCATTTAGACACAATGACACCTATAACAACTTTAAAAAATAGAAAACTTCAAAGGTGTGCCGGGGGAAGGAGGGTGTGAGTGGTGGGGGTAGTGGAAAAGAGCTAAATAAGAGAGCAATTTAGTCATTGGAATCTTAAATATAAATTGCGTTTATCTTGAAATCTAACCTTAGCATTTTCAACTTGTTCAAGATGCCCTGATGAACGAAAAAGAAGTTATGACGAATAAGTTTGAAAAAAAGTTGCATCGATTATAATTGTTGTGACTTAATTTGTTTGTCACAGGTTCTGACTTGATGCAACTTCAACCTTTTTTCAAACTTGTTTGTCACTACACAGTTTTCAAACTTGTTTGTCGTATCTTTCTGAAAAATTCGTCATGTTTGAAGACATTTAGAGACATTTTAGAAAATTGAATGTAATTCTTAATCAGTTGTTCTTTTCTGTGAACAACAGCACTCACTTTGTCGAGGTCTACTCTACATATGTAGAGTCTGTGGTTGAAGTGGTCACAGAGGATCGAACCCAGTTGCGCCTCGTCCAGAGTTCGCTTCGACCCACAGATCTCTAAAGACATTATTATCAAAATTACCAAAGCATTATATGACGTATGATTTCTGAAGAAAAGTTTAAGATTTTTTTCGAGGTAGTTAATTTCAACCAATCAGGTTCAAAGATTGTGATCCAATTTCCGAAATATCAGAAAGATGAACTGTGGGCCGCATAACAGAAAATACCCATGTGAAGGAATGACTATGGCCTCAAAGCAATGCACATGTAACTATTGACCAATCAGTTTTGAAATTGGAAACTTGCAGTTTTGTGAAAACACAATATGACCTCGAAGGAGGTTGCCTGTTTAAAATGACTTTTGATGTTCACAACTGCAAAAACTGTGTCACTTTTACAACTTTTCTAATGTGCAAATTTCCGTATGAACATTTTATAAGCTAATTTATTTTACAATTTTACGATGGGGAGGTAATTGAGAAAAGATAAAAGCTGATAATGCTGTTATAACCAACTAACAATCAGGAGAATTATGTAATGAGTGGAAAACAATTATTTACAGTTTCAATATTTTGTAAGAAGATTTTTAGGCAGAACTTTTCCTCTGTGAAAAAATATTTTTACTTCACTTGAGCTTCCGCGAGTTTTTGGATTTTTATACAAAAACTCACCTCGAATGATTTAAGCCCCATAAACCATAATGTATTTTTTTAGTTTTGTAGCAATATAGTCGCAACATTCTGGGCTACTTTCACTGCCACTGGCTATTCTTATTGTTCATATTGCTGTCTTGTTCATGACAAACTGTGAGTTGACAATTTTATATACTGGGTGACATTGCTAACGCAACATTATAATAACATTCATGCTAAAACCAGTGGAAACCAACGAAATAGTTTTTCTACTGTTCAACCCTTACTTCGCTAATGCGTCTTTGTACTGAATAGATATAAACCAAATATTGGTTGCGTTAGTGGGTTTTTGATGATCTTAGTTTCCCAAAATATCTAAAAAAAATAAAGGTAATTAGTTTCATGCAATGATATTTCCAAGAGTGGGGCGGGTCAACAAGAAACACATGGCATACAACGGTGGGCAATAAATCTTTGAAATCCCATGTCGCATGAGCCGGTAACCATAGAGGGAACTTTTTGGATGTGAATAGCGCAGGTTATCATACAGATAAACAGAAAAGCTCATCTCTTCTCACTACTGCGGCAAACAGTCACGTAAAATGGATTTAAAATAACCAACCCAAATTTACTGAATGGCCGTCGGCGATAACCAAGCGATCAAATCTTTCAATTGTCAGGAGACTCACTCGCAGACCTAGCAACACAAATCCCATATGTATTATGGACCGCAATTAACGCAAATGTTGATTGCTTCAACAAACGACTAGAATCCAAGATAGGCTGCCTATTTTCGAATCTTGTTTCGGCTAAGCGTTGAATTCGTCCAGTGGAAAAAAATGAAAACATCGGGACCATAGAACGGTGAGTAACATGCAATGATACTATCCCATGTTACGTGTATGCCAAATTGGAGTTGGTCGTTCTCAGTCAGAAGCGATTCGGCCGGACAAAATGTTTAGGCGGTATTCCCGCGGAATCGCTTGTTTTCGTCTTCCCGCGGAATCGCTTGATATTAGTAACAACATCCTGATTCGGTTTGAAAGGCCACTCATTGCCTAGTAGGAAGCTTGGACCCCTGCCCCAAAATCGTTCTTTCAGGCATTCCGCCGATCTTGCTCGCGACCCAGTGTCCGCGGGACTATCTCCACTTTTCAGATGGAACCAATTATTCACAGTGGCGAGTTCCCTAATTTCACAAACACGGTTTGTGATGACAGTTGGCAACATAATGTAACACCGTGGTGATATTGGTCAACAAAAATGTGCTGGTTACCTTAATTGAAAGTTCCCGCAGTATATCTTCCTTCAACCGAGATGGCAGCTTTGGAATGTACATAGCCTTCATTGGTGCTACCCTTGCTCTACCAAACCTAAATGCGAGTTTGGCTTTTTTATTCTAATTAATTCGAGCACGAAGTTAACCAGCCGCGCAAAATACATCTTGCGAGCTATACCCGAAAATATGAAGCTCACATTGATCAAATGGAATACTGAAGTAGCACCGCAAAATGACTAACTTTCCTACGACAAATAGGCTTGAATGCCACTCAATGAACTGATTCCGAGGTGCTTATAGTAAGGGATCATCATACTGTTGCCCAGTTATGCGCCAAATGTCCTTAAGCTGCAGGAGGCACTTATTGCGTAGGAACTTACCAAGCGGATCGGGTCGAAGTCCGTTGAAACAAAACTTTTAATTAAAAAGTCCGTTTAACCGGAATGACAAAACTGTTAACGAGCTCTTCTTTTATTGTCTCATTGTAACTACTCTCTAAACCACTATTTTGGTTGAGCATTTTTTCAAGCGTCTTGAACTGTGCAAGCGCTGAGTCGTAGTTTTTGGGTAGAGAATTGCTGTCATCGGCCCATATCATTCCTATCCAGTAACGTTCATCATCATGGTATGTTTTTGATACAAGAAGGTTATTCTTTCCCTGATCGGCTGCACCACAGCGAACATCAGCTTGCTTCTATATGCCATAGTTTTCTCAAACCACGGTTGACTAACAAGTTCTAATTCATCGGCGTTGCTCTTGATAACAACCAGACAATGAGGTGAGTAGGGTCACTCAAAACCCATCATACCGGCAGAAGAAGAGCCATTCGAGTTTTCCTTTCTGCATCTTGAAAATAATCGAATGGGCCTATCTGGTGATAAACATCCTGACAATTTACCATTTCGATGTCCAAAGGGCTATACTAAACTGGCTTTCTTCATTCCAAGTATGGTTAAATTTCTTAAAGGGCCGGAACATAAACCTTTTGAGACCCTACTTTAATTTTATTTTTCATGTAAACGGTAGAAGTTGAAAAAAATTCAGTGTTAATTTAATCGATGGATAAGGTGACCTCGGCTTACTCAGTCGAAATGATATCCGCTTAATTGAAACTACTTAGGGTCAAATCAACTTTTTTCCCTGAAAAGTTCAGACGGCGGGTCAAGCTAGCGGAAACCCAAGAGTAATTGCTCGTGGATTGACACTAAATGAGAGCGTTATCGGTTTCTGACTTCGACGACCCACTTAGCTCAATATCCTGAAGAAGACCTTTAACAATCTGAGCGGATATGGAACAAGAAGGCGATGAATTTTTTTCCGGAGAGTTTCCGGTAGAAGACTTTTTTTGTTTCGAGATAGATTTTTTAATTTCAAGCAGGACAATGCGGTCTGCATATTGCAGAGGGAACTTGTGCGCCTGTTGATACCCAGATTTGGTGCATTTCCTAGCCTTCGGGCAATTAGGAAACAATTGGCCTGCTTGGAGACAGGAAAAACATAATTTTTCTCCGCGTTTTTTGTTCTTTGTCTTACAAAAAAATTATTTCTTATGCTCATGCGTTTTGGCCTTCTTTCATCCAATCGTTGATTTTAAGGATTTTAGGGCAATACCAATTGTCGCTGACCGTCTACAACGATCAAGATTCCTTCATGTTTGGAGGAAGTTTACATAAAGCTTGATTCAAGATTCAAAAAGCGGTGTTACAATGGCTTCAATATGTCAAAAAGATGTCGGCTATCGTGCAAACCGTGTTTGTTAAATAAAGGAGCACGCACAATTAAGGAGTGAATCATTGATTCCAAGCGAACAGTGGGACACGCTGATTATTGGCGGAATGCCTGAACAAAAGCTTTTAATTCAGGGGTCTAAGCTTTCTACTAGGCAATGAGTGGCCCTTCAAACCGAATCAAGATGCTGTTACTAAAATCCTCTAATCAAATCTGTGGACGACATCATAGACAATTTAACTTATGCGCTCACGAGTTTTTCAAAGTGGTCAGAGTCCGTAATTATTTGGAAGAAGTTTATTAGTTTTATGAAACTGCAGCGACACGTTTGCTTTTTGTTGAGGTTATTGCCGAAAACCAGCAACTCCGTAAAAACGGCTAGTCGCATTGCAGGTTTTTCACCGTTTATTGGCCTCAATGTTATTATTTGTTCCACTGGACGGATTCAACGCTGAGCCGAAACAAGTTTTGAAACGCATCGCATCATCTTGGATTCTCATCATTTTGTGGTGAAACTGTTTCTGAGGCCTCTGTACTTTGCCTAAAGCCATCAAAACCTGCTTTATTTGCGGTCCATAGTACATATGGGATTTGTCTTGTTACTCCTGCGAGCAATTGTACGTGCAATTGAAAGATGTATCTTTGTTTGCAGAAAACGCAAGACAAACCGTTTACTTCCTATGATTTCAAACATCCTTGTCGAGCAGCTTGGCTGCCGCCAACGGCCATTGAGTAAATGCGGGGAGGATATTTTGGTCCAATTTGCGTTAATTTTCACCCAGTTGTGAGAAGAGATGGACTTTTCTGTTTACCTGAATGACTACCTGTGCCGTACACATCGAACTTAAATTGTTCCGACCATGAACACCGGCTCATGCATCATGGGGATTTAAAAATTTTTGCCCGCCATTGTATGCCAAGTGTTTTGTGGCCAGACAACGAAACCAATTTCGTTAGAACGGAGAAAGAACTCTTGCTTTGCGTAAAATTTTGAAACAGACAGGCTCCCTCATTTTTAGTGCAAAATGATTTAAATGGGGAAATTATTACAACATTACTAGCGCGCCGCATCATTTTGCGTCTTGAGAAAGGTTAGTAAGCAGTTTCAAAGGTTAATTCGCAGTAGTCATCGGTACTCGCAAGTTAACGGATAATGTAATGTCTACCAAGTTTTTTTTTTAGTGGAGTAATCGTCAAACGCCCGTCGTGAAACTCCTGTTGGTACCGATTCAACTGAGTTGGAATCTTCAATGCTTAAGCATTTCTTCTTTTGCTAGTTTTTCGTTACTGAAATGTGATCAAACTTCGATCACCGAAACGCTATGTAGGAGTAGAAACTTACACAAAACCAATTAACAGCGCTGGCTGAAGGCGTACGTCCCTTCCTTAAAAAAGCGCTCAAAATGGCATGTTGATT